CCGAAACGTCAGCTTAATCGTGAACAAAGAATAGTAACACCTCGCGTTTGCTCAACAAAAATACGAAGAGGGTATATGAATGAAAACAAATCGGAAGAGAAGAAAGTATGTGGTGTTATAGCAAGCAAGTGGAGATGGACAATTCTTTAATTATAGAAATAACATTATACCTATACCAACAGCTACGTTTTGAACCGTACAGCATCTAATAAGCATCGGAAAACGATATAGAGGAGAGGTTCTGCAGCCAGCAGAACAAGAGCAGCACGGGTTCCGCCTAGGTGCTTTGAAGAAAACCTGTTAAATTACGAATTTAAAACAATTAATATAACGTGTTGTGAGTTATAATGAAATTACTATTCTTCAGTTTCATAGGTCTACATGTTCGGAAACAGAAAATGGAAGTCTAACTTGACGCTTCTTCGACATTCCTCTGTTTAAATATTGGTATGGCTCGTTTCTTCAAGTAATCGCGCTGACTTCAAGAAAACTCTCATTTCGCAGGGATTTTACTGGTTGGGCAAGGTTTCCACTACACTCTCGAGGTAGTCGTGGTAGGAATTTCCCAGATTACAACCATAAAATTGGTAGGAAGTTTGCTAACTTGCGTCTAGTCTTCTTTTAAAACGGCCATGATCTCTGTTACTCTTTCAGTCTTAGTTAACATGCTCATTCACTTCGACATGTACGCTATCGTATGTTTTTGATCGTACATCTTGATATCAACGCGCATGCCCTTTTATTTCGCCGCACACAGTTTTGCCAAACCTTCTGTAGTCAAGAGACAGCATGTTGATCACGCATTTTATACCGGGGCTAGTGCATGGATAGCCGTTATCAATGGGCGTATCGCTATCAACTATCGAAAAGTATACTACGCAATCCTTTCGCATGAGTTGGTACGTCTGCTTGAATTCCATAGAAGACCTATTGGCACTTACAGAGTAAAGTCTAGAGCAATTTACCGAGGAGACATCGATATAACTACTTCTTGCATACGGAAGACCTACGCATCCTCAAAGTGCGCATTTATAAATGGGCAATTGGGAAAGGAACACATCCTCAACTCTTACTAGAAATTTTTAACGCCAACATTATCGATGTTTAACTCAAACACATTTACTTTACAAGGTATGATTTCTAGAGGGAAATGATACGGAAGTATTTGTAGTATGTAGCAATAGTAGACGTAGATAGAGTGCGCTTACAACATTGTGCAGAGTACTTCTTTGCAAATAAATGCTTATTCCTAATCCATAAAAAAGCTCTCGGCGTTGATCAATCCTTGAGGGATGCGCCATGCATTCGACATCATTAAGCATCATTAGAGGTACTTGAATGCATATCTGGATTTACAATAACTCGCAGCAGTCTATCGACGTGTCAAGCCAGTGCTGCTATCCTCCCGGACAGGTCTAGTACCAATCTGCCGACCCCGAACAGATGGATGGTGAGCCTTGAGCGCGGAATCGAATCCATGTGCCTCCGACCACTGCGCCACACGCGTCATCCCTAATCCATAATTTCATAAAGCCTTACTGATGTTGTAACCTTTCACACAAAATATTTATTTAGTCACACTTCTTACAAATTTTTCAAATAGCAGCTTTGCAATAGTTTGCAAAGAACTGACCCTTCTTGCATAAAACTTCTGATGTTTACGTATAATGGACCACTCTTGGATAGAATTTAAAACAGTTGCTCACGAAAGTATGCAAAATATACTTAGGTAATAGAAGTCACAGTGATTACCAACAATCCCCTCTTACCTACAATCATGCACGACATACAATACCAACGCACAGTTCAGATTTCTTCCATAAGAACTCTATTTTTTGCATATAGACGACTTTTCACATAACTACATTGACAACTTCAAAGCTATCTAAAAAATGTTTCTTACATAACTATGCTTAGGAACAACTTGCCTAGCAAATCTGCAGGCGCCATATGCCGTCAGCTTCATTTAACAACCAACCTGACACACTCTTCTAGTGATAACCTCTGGTTGTCGTACAAGAACAAGGTGTGTACACCTGAACTAGAGGTAAAACTAGATATGTCGAAACGATGAGGAAGCGAGACATCCGCACCGCTCACTAGTTTTCCCGAGATAGGATGGTGGCTTCTCACTTCTCACACAAAATTCTTCTTTTGAGCATAGGTATTTGTACCTTTCTTTGCATATGTCAACTACAAGTAATTCAAAGAGATTGACAGGGTCTATCTTTGCAAACTAAACACTCCATCAATACCCGGTTGCTCGACACGAAACACTCAGTTTTAGAGTCATAAATTCTTGCTAGGAAGGGGTTGTAAAGAAGAAGCAAAACAAACTATGTCGAGAAGAAAATGCCCACATTGGCATAAATGAATATTCACCGAAAACATGTGATAGACCAGGACATCTCTGACGTGCTGGTATACTCCGTGACCATTTGAATGTGTTCAAGCCTAAATTACTGTTTATTTGACATTCAAGTTGTGGATCCACTGAAGTTCCTACAACTTCTAAGGTTCTAAAACGGTGCATAAACCATAAAAAGATAAATATGAATGCTGTTACAATATAGACGACATAATGGAAATATAATGCATAGTACCACATATACGATGTTGGTACCAACCTCGTGTCAGCTCGTTTATAGAAGTATGTACCGATCCTTCACGCCAACGTCAGCTGACATGGGGCTTCCTGAAACAAATATATGCATATAAAAGTATATATATGTTTCCAAATAGTACAAACACGTAACGATGAGCAGTATTAAACCAGTTTAAAAAAAGGATGTTTTATACATTACCCGGACCTAGCACCTAATTGGCTAGCATTCTATATAGCATTTCTAGAATCTTCAAAACGTAAGGAGCAGAGCCATCATTTGCGACGAGTGAATAGGTTTCAATGTCGCCGACACTATTGATATGGAAGCGATCGAACAGGATTTCATAGCCTTCATCCGCAGAGATGACGCCACTAGAATTTAAACTCTTGAACAACTGCGGGCAACGTACGAAGTTGTAGTAAATAGAATGGTGCGATGAAACACGAGAAAAGTGCACAAACTACTAACGCACCATAGGAAAATTAGTGGAGGAAGAGATGTTGTTGGGAGGAAGAAAGATACATGCTATTAGCCTCCAAATGGAGCAAACCCACCGTTTATTTTTGAAAAAAAAGAACAGCTCCCCAGCAATTCATGTCATGTCTATGTGAGAAGCAAATTCAACGTATTCTACGTGTTCATTACGTAACAACACCAGAAAGAAAGAGAGATGAATACAGCTCAAAGGGAGAACGGAAGATCACAACGGTAGGAAAAGACGAATTAGAGAAGGAATGGAAAGGGTAGAGGAACGGACTGTGCTCCGACGAGCTCCGTGGTGTTCAGCGCCAACACAGACCGCTACCGTTTGTGACAGCTAAATTTTGTGAAGTTATTAGGGTTAAAAAATTCTAAAGTACTAATAAAAGCGGGGCAACATCAGGAATACGTGAAAAGCGTCAACAAACAGTTATCTAGAACTAAGGCAACTGTTTTGGTGCTTTTTCACTGGTTGTTATTTTTTCATGGGATAAACATAATGCATACCACACATACGATATTGGTACCAACCTCGCGTAGAGTTATGTATAGCTGAGCAAAAGGAAACGAGCGATTTGGGAAGCTTTCAAGAGAATAAAGGATGTTGTGTAAAGAAAAAAGGACATCCGACTCCGCGCTATCCCTTCCGATTCCACACTCTTCCTGTCACAACGAATTCCTCAGGAACCTGATCGTTGCGTAAGCAGGAAGAGTGGTCGCTCAGCGTTATTCAACGCGCAGTCGAACGGACGATGCTAGGCGTATCCCGGTATCATACAAGTAAGGGAAGGGACCCGAAACTCTGATCTGTTTCATCAAAAGTCCAATAATAAGAAATCAAAGACGCCGTTTTAAACGCTAAATTGTCGAAGATAAGGTAGGCTGGGACATGCAATGCGTATGAACGACAGCCGATGGACACAAGCCATTAGTGACCACAATCCTCGAGACGTCGAAAGTTTTGTACGGACCCCCAGCCCAGAGATCTGAGTCCCTCATGAGAACGCTGAAAAAAGATATGAGGCTCAACGAGTCTCTAGAGCGAGTAGAACCCACTGGGCTACTCTTGCAGGCGATAGGGTAAAATAGGTTTATTAGTGCCTGCTCGAGTCACTCAGTGATCCATGGGGCGACAGGTAATACACATGAATATAAGAACAAACAGTAGGGAGAACGAAATCTGAGAAAATGGGCCACTATTAGCATGAACCTTTAGATCTACACTATTGTTGATCTACAATCAATCACCTATTGCTTAGATTTGTGTTCAATCCATTTTAGAAATGGTGTCAAGTATTAATGGTGATAGAGGTTATGCAAAGAATGTTATCGGCTAGTTATCTGCAACCCCATACATTCGGTAAAAGGACGAAAGATAAAGGATGAAGCTCTCGGCGCTGATCTTTCCCTGAGGGATGCGCAACGTATTCGACTTCATCGAGGACCGTTAGAGGTGAATGAGTGCATATCTGGCCTATACGGTGGCTCGCGGTAGTCTACAGGTGTGTTGAGTCATTGCTGATATCCTCCCAGACAAGTCTGATACCATTTTGCCAACCTCGGATGGATGGAAAGCTTCGTGGGCCTGGGGCGCGGGAATCGATCCCATGTGTATTGCAATGTAGATCCAACGACGAGGGCGAAGGCAAATTGGTTCGAAAATAATTTGTTATTGACGGAGAGCACTTTCGAAAACAGACTTTTCTTGCCGGAGAACAGTTTCGAAAGCAGTTTTTCTCGCCCGCGATAATGAAAATCAATCCGAAATGTCAACAAAGCGACATATTATCAGCATTGACCTCGCTAAGTTTCTCTCTTACCGATTTTCGAAAATGATATTGACACCGCTTGAACACGTATATAAAGAGCTCACAGGTCACTAACATATCGTTCCTACCATTCTCTACATCAACTATGACCGAACTCAATTCTGAACCGAAAGCCGCCCATTTCAAGGTGTACCGTGAGAGTACGCAGCGGTTCGCCATCGAATACAAAGAGAAGGACGACCTCTATCAGTCCTTCCAGAAGAAGATCGACGAACTTAGCATTCCGCCTCTAGCTGTGTACTCTATCGACAACAATGGCGAGAGCATACAGATCAGCGATGCGGACACTCTCTTCGGAATAGTGAAAGACTCCCCGAAGGCTAGAGTTACCGTCTGTGCAGAAGATGATCACTCATATTCGTCTTCGGATACCAGTGAACACAAACATGGACCATCAAATCTAAAACGACGAATGAAGATTCACCACCGTAGCCGTTCCAAAAGCCGTGATCGTTCCTGTCCAAGAGACAATATGTGGAGTAGATACGGTCCCTGGGCACGTTTTTGGCGCTTTCCGGGATTTTGCCCAGAATTCTTACACGATTTCTGCCCCTATTATGATCAGCCACTACCCTTCCGTTCCTTTGGATCGTGGAATTTCCCTATGGATTCGCGAAACGGTGGACATCACGACCGCATGCGTGACTTCGAGCACTGCTTCGACCAATTGTCACTTTTCGGACCATTCAAAGAAACCAGTTGTCCTACGGATCCACGATTCGGATATCACGAACAAATGCGCGATTTCGACTTCAGCTATGACCAGTTGCCACCGTTCAGCTTCTCCAAATCGTCTTGTTTCCCAATGGACCAGCGTATGGGACATGGCCCATTTTATGGAATGGGACGTGGTCGTGGTGGACACCATCGTGGTGGTATGCGAGGCGGATTCCATGGTTAGTCTCATCTCGATTGTTATTATGTTTAGTAGTAGCCTATATCTTAAATAATGCTTCTGTTTTATACTTGATCATGTGTCGTTTCGGCACTTCATTAAAATAACCAGATCATTGTAGAAATCTCTGCATTGTAGATTTTGTTGTGAACCATCCAATAAAATGTTAGTGAATTTGATAGTGAAGAACTCGAAATATTTGTGCAAACAACCGGCAATGTGGTCTTCTAAGTACGAAAAAAACAGAAACATGTGCAAAACTCGAAGACATTTTAATAAACGCCTTCTATTAATCTCATCTACAGATCTATTTCTATCCATGGTGTTCAAACCACAGATGCTGTATAAATATAAAGATCTCCCTTATCTGTTTCATCTGTACGAGCCCAGGCAGCTCAGTTGAGGTGTCCCCAAATAGCCGATGTGGGCCGAAACAGTGACCAACGTTTTAGTAGTGCTGAAGTGCATATAAATGCAGAGAGGAGCTGCCTTCGATGCGTCGGAGATGATTTACATGTTCCGAATACAGATAATCATATTCCTGCATACCGGCATGAGTGTATTTTGATTTGAGCAGGTTGTATCCTGTACGTTCACCAAACTAAAGACGCTTTACGCTCCTTGGGAAAATTAATGAGAAGTACATAGGGGTTTGGTTTGACGTTTGCGCCAATACAAAAGCCTTACTTCTAGTTCGAAAAAATCCGACAAGCTAATCGTGAGTGCACCCAGATGGCACGGACAGTTGCATTTGAGACTATACGTCCTTATTCTTAGCACTGAATCAAGTACCACAGAACACTCTAAGACGCCAGTTAATTCCTAACGGTTTCTATGACAATCTATGCCAAATGCATAATTGCACAACTTACCCTAATGATAAAGACTGTGACTGCATGAGTTTGGGTGAGGTGTGCATAACCCGTGGGTAGACTACTTCGCATCCATGTAAAATGGCAGCTACTTGGGAAACGTAACGTCAAACAGAACACTCCAGTAAGCTCACATAGAGCACAAAGACAAAACGGAGGATACTTTGAAACAAAAGTCGATATTATAGCACGAGAATTTAAAAAATCGGCGCGTAAAACTCTGGAAGCATTCTGGATAAATTCAAAAAATCCAATGATGAACCGCAACGAGGACTGTCTTGCGAGGACGCGTGACTCGCACCATACGTCAGCCTGATTTCTTAACTTGACCCAGGCACGCTGTGTAAGACTTGTAAAACTGAGGGCCCCAGTAAATTCTCCATTTTTCGAAGTTTTGCTGGTGCCACTGTGTTTTAGGGGACCCAAGGTGGTCAGCCTGGCCAAAGTCTGCCCCAGGTCATCACCACCACAGGCAGTCGCCGCCCATATGGATCAAAGGGAGATTTGCCAGCAAGCGACTAGTTTAATACTAGGACGGTGGTGGATCCCTGGTATTGGTTTACTCTTTGCTAGGCTTCCTGGTGGAAACGCTGGACTCCTTCTCAGCTTGGAAGACCCTGCCAGGGGGATGAATCCTCCCGCTGTGCATTGCAGCCCGACACCCAGGAACACCTCCCAGCCATGATGAGGCAGTACACATTATGGTTGCAGTACGGAATCAACGTAATATTGATGATAATAGAACGATAGCTCATAGTTTCTTCTATAAATCTGTTAAGGTCCTAACACTTGAAATGCAATAGTAATTGAATTGTCGAGATTGCATAATTTGCCCCAGTGGTAGAGACGGTGACTGCATGAGCTCGGGTATAGTTTATCTGATCTCCTGTAAGACGTGTGGTGACGAATACATTGGCGAAACGGGTAGAGGGTAGACCCCTCTGTGTCCGCATGAAAGAACACCTAGCCGGCAAAAATAGACCAAATACCCCGCTAGGCACGCATAGGACCCAGAGACATAACGGGGACGACTTCGAAGTATGTGTCACGAACCTCGCACGCGAATCAAGAACACAGGCGCGAAAAACTCTAGAGGCACTCTGGATTAATTCCAGAAATCCGAAAATGAAGCGCAGGGAAGAATGCCTCATTATCACGCGTGATATAGGGCAGTATATAAAACTGCTTTTCTGACGTGAGGGGCACATTATACTTCCACGTGATTTTTGTGCGGTTGGTCTCTACGTGACATACTTAGTGGAAACCTCATAGAAAGCGGTGAGTGTGCAAAGCTGTGTTCAAAGTGATTGAAATCTTGGTTTGGAGTTTCTTTGTTTGGTTATGGAGGCGTCTGGCCGAGTGAGTTGCTATCAACTTGACCTTTCCAGGCTCTGAGGAAGGCGAAATCCGCCGAAACGTCAGCTTAATCGTGAACAAAGAATAGTAACACCTCGCGTTTGCTCAACAAAAATAGGAAGGGAATTGTCGAGAGTTATCAAAGAACTGGCACCACACATTGCCTGAAGTTTTTCCTCCGACAACTCGTTGTTATATGATTTTAAATAGCTGTAATGAACTATAGGCACTGTATGGAATGGAAGGACATCAAAACTATAAAGTAAACATCGTCATATTCTTTCGCTTCATTAAACACCGTGAGTACCATAACTGGATGATGGGCGAGTTTTCTTTCACCACACGCAACAGTTAAAGATGGTCCAAGAGCATGGGGGACATAAGAAGAAGATCATATCGGATATAGCGGGATTACAGAGACACGAGAAATATACGGAGGACCAAGCAAAAGAACGATGACGTCAAGAGACCGATGGATGCACCGTGTCTCTTGCAAAGTGTCAATAACATATGCCTTGACTTCAATGCGAACTTCGATTGCTCGCCGATAACGATAGAGATGACACTCAAAGATGTCCGCGATCGTGAAAGGGTTAGCTTTACTGAATGCAAATATGGAAATGAGATAGCCCTGACGACAATTAACCCACTTCTGCACATTGATATTCATAAATTAAGAGAATTCTCCTGAAGCGAAAGGATCTGCGTTCCTACCCCTCTAAATCGCTTAAGTAGACTTGTTAATGAACTTCACAAATAAAAGAATCAGATCCTAATAAATGTTCTCTTCCAAAATAGATGATGAAATCGGCCCCCTATAGTGGGCGCCTCTTACCCTCAGCTGTTGCCGCTCGTCCAACCGAGTATTGATCGCACTGGAAGGATGAACACTTCTCACATGATCGCCACTATTCCCAAGCATCCATGCATTCGACCTCATTAAGCATCCTCTGGAGGTGATTGAATGCTTGCTTATCTAACCTTTACAATGGCTCGCGGTAGCCTACCGATGTATCGAGCCAGTGCTGCTATCCTCCCAGACAAGTTCGGTACCGATTTGCCAACCCCGGATTAATGGAAGGCTTGCTGGGCCTTGGGCTCCGGGACCGATTCCACGTGTGTGTTGCAGGCCCCTTTCGACCACTGTGCCACACGCGCCCTGTAGGTGTTTACTTCCTTATAACCTCTTAGTGACTAAAAGCATGGCTAAATCTTGAATACATGTTGAATTACGCCTTCCTGCTCTTGAATGCTTCAGAACCCGCTCTATTCATCCGGATCTCCAATGAATGCGATCTCCACTGTGAACGAAAAAGGAGTAATAGTGAGTTTCTTGTGAGGGCTTTTTAACTTCTAGATGGTTTTAGTATCCCCGCCCACAACTGCCGTTTCCCAATCGTTCTTCTTCACGTTGACAAAATACCAGTACGTAACAATTACTACCGAGCAAACACTCATCTTGGAATAAAAAGCTTTATTAAAAACAACATTATCGATTTTTGTGGTAAAAGATCCGCATTTCCTGACACTGAAGACAATACCATTCCTCAGCAGCTGTAGCAAGTTTCTGGAATAAACATACTTGTTTGTTCTTTATTACTACACAGTACAGAATACACAGTAAAACATCTACTTAACATTTTTCTGCACATTTACAAGAGCACAATAATCAACAACTAGCATACAAAAAGATAACCATGATGCCAAGCTACGTACCTAGTATCCATGGAAATTTCCTTGCCAGCCATCGACCGGATGCCCACAACGACCACGTTCCATTCCAAAAAACGGATAGCCTCCGAATCGAGCATTCATGGGAAAATGAAATGGATTACACGGACAAAACATCGGTGGTCGCCCATGAGGTGGACCGAAGAAAGGTGGAGGTCCATAGTACGGAGCATAGTGCTCACAAAATTCCTGGAAACCCTCATGGTCCGACGAATCTCTTGAATGGGACCTGCCATGACCTCGTCGACAACGACGATGATCTCGTCCACGAGAACCCTCTTGATTCCGGCCGCGATCGATTTTGTGACCTTTCCTTCTCCTTCGTTTCTCGATTTCCTCACCGTATTCGGGACACGATTCTTCTTCAACACCTTCGTCACGAACTGTAACATTCACTGTTCCATTTCCCTTCGTAGCTATGCTAAGTAGTGCATCAGCGTCATCGATCGTGACCTTAGCACCATGGTCGTCAACCCAGTATGTGGTTGCTTGTTTGGTGGTCCATTTATCAACGTGATCCTTGAAGGATTGATACAAATCCTCCTTGTTCGTGAAGGTAACAGTGAATTCCGGCGGTTTTTCGAAATACAGCTTCATCCTAATGGATTCAGCAGGCTCCATGGCTAGCGTACGGTACGGAATGCCTGGGAGACGCAAGTTAACGCCTAGTTTTCGAAAACAGAGATGGGCGGGGTATCGCGCAAATCTGACGGTGCCGTGACTCACCACCGTTCGCACTTCACATTGATTTCAAGTCTCGACCGTGTCAGGAACGCAAACACTGCTATTTATGCAGTTTGGTAAGAACAGATGACAAAGTTATTTGGGACCATTGAGCAGTCGGAAACGAAATGACGGAAACGTTTGCCTATGCGATGGTTGTAAGATAAGGACAAGCGCAATAGAAATTGGCAATTCCGTTCCTTTACCAGACTTCCTGGAGGTATTATGAACTTGTTGTGACGACGAGATGGTGGAAAAGGTAATACACTTAAGGTGATACACCACGATAGCTTTGATTTACCACCATGTCATTGTATAGAGCAGGATATACACTCATTCCACCTATGCTAGCTCCAAGCTGCTTCATGAAATAGAATACATAGCGAATCTCTAAAGGAAGGATCAACCCCAAATGCGTTAGTCCTTATTGCAACGAAGAGATTTCACAAAGGAAAAACATAGCAATACACATTTTATTTTCAAGATGGAGTTTGAGAAATGCTGTAGTTGGAGATATCATTCAATGTATCCATGCTCCCTCGCTGGATACCCTCCAAGTCAATCAAACATTTCACTGCTCTTGAAAACAACCTTGACACTTCAGTTACATAACGATTTACTATGGACTATAAGAAAAAGAAAGGCGTGTGTGGTGCAGTGGTTGGAGGCGCCACTGCGACACACACGGGAAATCGATTCCCATGGCTCACCAGGGCTTCCATCACTCCGTCGGCAAATTGGTACCAGAGTTGTCTAGGAGGATAGTAGCACTGGCTCGGTAGGCCACCGGCCAACGCCGGCAGCTATCCCTTTATTTTATTTTTAAAAGGAAAACAGCTATCTCTATTGGTCATTACAAAGTAGTGAAATTTCAGTGGAACTGTAGGAATAGGGGTAAAAATCTTGTGACTTCTGAATACAACTGATGTGAGGGCTCTTGAGTTCAGCCTTTACATACTATTCCTGAGTAAAGTCAGTTAAATTGATGTCACCTATGTTTCTGTAACATTTAGTTGAATCATATACACCTGTAACTTCCTTCGTGTACGTGGCTGCTTCCACTTGTATACAGATTGCACCCACTACTCAATTTGACCAAAAGTCTATAATCAAATGAGTAGGAACTACATAAGAGATAATTAGAGATCTCCTTTAATATTTAATCACCACATCTACTAGAAAAATGTTGCCTCATATGGGCCGTTGGATAGTTTAGTGACTAACAGGGACGAGTTGAATCATAAGCGATATGCAGTCGAGTCATTCAGTGATAAAAGTGATAACAATATTATGACAATCTTAACCATTTTATTTACTGCCTATTCTTTTTAATGGCAGGGTGTATTGCGAAATATAACTTCAATGATGCTGAGATATTTGCAGAAGATACTTGCTAATGGCAGAGATCGATAGAACTAGCTGAGAGACAGGCGAAACGAAGGACCCGCATGGTGTGGTGGTGAACGCGTTACTCCCCGGAAAGGTCAATAGCGCGTTCGTTCCCCACCGCACACGCCAACGGTCCGGAGTTTTGGAAATATCTCAGCATCATTGAAAATATTATGACAATTTGTGAGGAAGAAAAAGTGAGAATTTCGTTTTCAAGGCAGAGGTTAGTGAGCATATGTAGGGTCAAAGTTTTCAAGGTTGGGGTTAGTGAGTAAGAGTCATCACTGAAAACATTCTGAAGTGTGGTTGAAACAGACGGATACACTTCAAAAATGTATGACCTTGAATATTGGACAATTTCACACAGAATTACGAAGAGTAATCGACAAAACAAAGCAGATGCACCGAAGCCATTACTGTAAGAACAACGTGACGATCATTTCCTTCAAATGAAGAGTTCGAATAAAGTGCACCACAACAGCTAGAGTTCCTAACAAAACTAACCGACATCCCCACATAACCAGACGTTTGGGACCTCCCAAAGTCTCAACTATCCCCATAGGATTACTAGATCGCATAACACTATTCCACCCACACCATATTTGGCTCTCCTACATGTCAGAATGATCCCCATGTCACTATGAAGGGTATGCAACTATTGATCGATGTCGGTTGGTGTGTAAGTGCACTCGAGAAAAATCGAAACTCTCCGTGTCGATGGGATGAGTCATCGTCGACCTTCCCTTCCACAAAATGTCCCGCCCACAGTCATTTTCGATAGCGGCGCCCCGAACGGATTTCACCAGCAGAATGGCGTCACCGACGCCTCCTCCAGCAGATGACGTGCCCGCTCCAGGAAACGTTCTAGAATATACCGCTGAACCTCCAGGAGACGTTCCAGAATATACCGCTGAACCTCCAGACGTTCCAGAATATACCGCTGAACCAAGGACGGTCTGTTTTAGGCTATTTCGGGAAGGTGTGTCACTGTTCGCCATCGAGTACAAAGATAAAGACGACCTGTATCGTTCATTCATGAAGAAGCTTGATGAACTGAATATTCCACGCCGAAAAATGTATTTTGTTGGCGACTACGAAAATCACTTCGAGATTGACAACCCGGATACACTCCTCGGATTAACACTAGATAACTTTGGTGTGAAAATTAACGTCTGTCCTGAAGATTACAACACGGATTCGTGCTCCGATGATTCAGAATTGGATTACGAAACTGAAAGGAGGCGAGAAGCGAAGAGTCAGAAATGTAGCCGCCACAAGAACTTTGGCCGATTCCATTCAAGAGACCATTCCTCCTACCCACACTGTTCCTGCGGATGCCACTGGTATTCCCCAGGATTGTACCACGAATTCTCTCCCTACTCTCAATCTTACTATGGACAGATTCCGAACGCCTACTACCATCATCCACCACCATTCAGCCCCTTCATGCCGTTCCATCACAGAACAGATCCCCGACTACGACATTGTCCGTTCTTCGGGATGAGGTTTGCTCGACGTGGCAACCATCCGTTCAACGGTTGGCAAGACGGTTACTATGACTACTAGATGTTTTATTTGGTATGTGAATGGCTATAACGCAAGTTTGTAATAAAATTTCCATTGTACTACAATTGTTCTATTTTAGTTAGTTAACGAATAAACGATTTGACTCGTCAACTGTTTGTCCATGATGAGCTGAGATAACAATGTAGTGGCATACCTATATCATCGCAACCTCTTTGTACAGCCAGAATGGAAGTATTACTTCATACTTAACTGCAGCGATACCCAAGTTGTTTCTCTTCTTACGGGGCTCTAGGACACTAACACCGAGGTAAAAATGGGTAGTCCACTTTATAGATGAGGCCATAAGTGGAGTACGATATGCGCTCGCGATTCTGATCTGTACTGTAATCTCTTACAAATGGCTACAGTATGATTAACTGTTAAATTGTTAAAGATCGTACCACTTAGCTGCAACCGTTCTTGTTTGTCAGTAGCTACTCGAACTACAAACCTCGCCACCGCATTTTCTGCTAGGTGGAGTTGTTCAAGTGGGTTTCGTATAACACGTTCATCTTCACTACTCTACGCTTACGATCAAGGATTCTAACTTCAACAGATATCAAAAACTTCCATTCAATCATCAAAGTGCTACACAGGCGTTACACTTTATCTTACAAAAGATAAGAAAGATTACATTTGGGCTGTTCTATCTGTTTTCTATTGATACACAACGAGAACCATAACATTTACAGCATTCTCTACACATAATAAAATACGTAGGTACAAGTACACAAGGGCCAATTCACAACCGATTTCTAACAGAAAAATAAGACCAAGCATACTAAAGGAATAAATATGGAACAAAATACCAAGAAAAATAGAAAATGAGTTGTCTAACATTCAATCAATTCCTCTAACATCGACCCTTCCAGTAACCAAATATCAGAAATGTGGTCCCATGTGGAAATGAAACGGATTGAAAGGAAGACCGTAATAGGAACAGTGGTAGAACATTGGCCCATTGTGGTATCCTGGAGGTCGCTGATGGCATAAGCAAAAACAGTCCACGTTACTGGTACCGCAGTTGGAATGTGAACAAGGAATATGTCCAGTCGTCGAGCAGTGTCTCCTTCTGCAACGATCCGATTTATCGAATCGATCGCGGCAGTGACTCGGCTCATTCGTTCGTCCCTTATGCCAGGAATGTCTGGGAGAATCATCTGCAGAACCTGCGAATGAATTCACATATTCATTAAGGTCTCGGACATAGAGTGGCATTTCGTCATTGGTCAAAGCATTAGAAAGTTTTTCTGCGCTGTTGATCTCCTCATGAGTGCCGTCATAGTCGAGATGATAGACAGTTTCAGGTGGAATGCCAAGCTCCTTCAAATTTTCTTTGAACGAGCGATACAAATCGTCCTGATCCTTGTAGGTGATGAAAAATCTCGACTTACTTGCGGGTGTAAACTGGAAGGATACCAAATTTTTCCCAATACTGTTGATGATCATAGCCGATGTGGTGACCGAATCGTTTATCGCCAATAGAACTTATGTGGAATAGAGTGGAGTAGGAGTGGAATGGAAGAGGCCGGAAGCGAACAGTGCGAACAGGCCTACGCTGGAAAATCGATTATGGGCGGGCACTTTTCTCCGTAGGCCACGAAACAGCGCAAGATAATTCACCGAGTTGACATTTGGCCTGCATACTGGTTTTTGAGTAGTGGAACTGGTAGATTGTATTCGTTGTCGTAGATCAGTCGGACTTGTTTAGAAGCCTCTACGTCCTACGCAACCATAAGATTGTGTAATCTTCAAAATGCTCATTACGTCAGAATCTGCCTATATCTGACAGGTACATTAAAGGGGCTGTAAGGCGCCCTCCTTATGGCTTGTTAGGATCTACTGAGTTAGGTTTGCTTGCTGTTACATGCGAACTGAATATTAAGTGGTGAACAGGAGCCCATCATAACAATGAATGATCTTAGTCAGCTTTAGAAAAAAACCGTGAAATAGATAGAGGCGTAGCAGAAATTTATGTAGTGATTAATGTTGTTAACGGAATCTCTACTTGACAACACTTGCCATAGTGATTTTCGGAATGCATGCCAAAGCCAATTCCTTTCTCTCGTATCCCTTTCAAACTAAATTTCTCAAATATTGCTTATTTTTCCTACTTTACATAACTCGACACCATATTCACTGTTCGGACTCCAGCACTTCTTGCACTCTATTCTTTTCCCCCGGGATAAGGCGTTGCCACGCCGATTGGAGGAGAGCGTTAGGACGGCGATCGAACTGGCTTCTTCTGCTTTCTGATCGACAGCACTACTAGCCACTGCGTCATCCTCCGACCATTTCTCAATACATTAAGTTCGACAGGCACTTGCCATTAACGACAAGGTTCTTTAAGTCCATTGTAACATTAAAAAAACCTCAAACGTTTAAAAGAGGAGAGTGGGTGAGTCATCCGCCGCACCCACGATCGATTCCTACATGGGGGGATTGCAGTCGCAATTGTGCAGTCATCATGTCGTCACCGTCAGAGACTGCACCGTCTGTGCCCACTGCGCCCTATTCACCTTCCGAGCTGAAAACCATTTGTTTCAAGTTATCAAAGGAAGGTAGGGTAGGGTTCTACCTCCCCACCGAGGACAAGGACGAACTGTTTAGATTATTCAAGAAGAGGACGAGCAAACTGAATATTACGCCCAACGCGAGATACTTAGCCTGGCATGAAGGCACACAAGTCTACGTCACTGATGCCGACCTGTTGGCCAAAATAGCACGAGGAGACGTGAGAGTGTTTGTAGATGTTTGTGATGTGGATAATTCTGAAGCTTTGCCTCACAGTTTCTCAGAGCGGTTCTATGGCCGAGCGAAAGGAAATATCCACGCAAGGAATCATAGAAACTGTTGCAAGACATCTCAAAGCTGGGACCGTTACAACTGTACGGTCGATTCTTGCCCATGTCACCTATACTATACGGACTACTACCGCAGATCGACGAGATGTTGCGATCCCTATTATGGACATCCATCATCATTCTACTGTCACATGCCTTTGCATTTGATATACCCACATCACTCGGTTTTCGGAAGTGGTTGTTGTTACGAACAAAATCTAAATAAGGTTAAGCAACGTCCGTTCTATTGTTACTAGATGCTTAATCGAATATGTCACTGGTTTTGATCAATCTTCTAGCGTTTCATTTAGCGGCTATCGCTACTATGCGCTGAAGCTCGTAATTTTTTAATAGAATTTTTATACCGTCTGTGAAAACACTGTGATGCAGTCTAAGGATTCTTGGATTTTTCATACACCAGTAGGTCTTTCCGATTATTAATGGCTTATTATGTAATGTAGGGAAATTTGTTTGTCCAGCTACACACTTTTTTAAGACGTAGGATTTTGAAATTAGGAATTATACCGGTCTGGGATTTTTATTCTTTGTGTGCTCTGATTTTTTCAGTCGATTAATGTATGGAAGAATTGCCAGGGATAAGGTGGACCTGAGGTTCTTCTCTTTTCAAACAGTCATTCCTTGATTTGGAATGAAGTTTTGTGCATTTGTTTTTTAATGGCGTTGTAAAGTGGAGGTTTTGCCAAACATCTGTGTACAAACGTATCTGTGCTAACGTTGACGTCCTTAAATAAAGATGTTAGAAGAAAAATGGGAGAAAAACAAGGAGTGAATTGTTGATTTCTAGTGTCTCATGATTGAGATGAGATCCGTAAAGGCTAACAAGGGTGGAGGTAACCAGCCTCCATCGACGATGAGAATTCGAAGATGTTTTAGAATTCGAGAACTAACGGAATTAGTTCGTGCATAAAGCAGGAGACCAAGGATACCTTAAGCAGATCGCGTTTAAGAAACCGATAACGAAAAATCAGTATCTATTTTAATAACTGTTTCTGAGCATTTAATGTCGCAATAGTAGCCATGGTGTACGAGGTTTCATGGTGTTGTATGAAAAAGAAGTCCTAAGCTGTGTAGGATAACAGACACTGTGCTGTACGAACATTTATTTTACAACCATTTAAATCCAAAACCATTACATCGACGAACATAATGTCTAGTTAAATCACTTACTTCTCTTCTTCTTTCCTTGGAGAGTTTGACAACAAAAGCTGTAGTGTGTCTTGTAGTGCTTCGAAAATTTATCTGGATTCTTTAAACAAAACCCTAGATGGAACGCACATGCAGTTACATCCAACGTTTAGGCAATAATTTCGTATAATAACATAAGACATCAGCTAACTAGAAACCAAAGGGTTCACCACGAATACCGCAACGTTGGTGTCCTCTATGGTAGTGTCCCATTCCACAAAACGGTAGGTGTCCAAAGTGTGGATCGCCTGGAAGAAAGCACGATCTGGGAAAGCTGGAGAATGGGGACTGGCCGTTGTAAGAGCCGATGTCAAGTGTTTCTTCATTGCAGAATACTGGTGAATAGCTATGGTGCTCGCGTCTCTTCGACTGTAGATCTCTTGAGTATAAATGGCGATTTCGGGAAATAGAGTGACGGCACCTTCGTTGATGATCACGAATATTTGAGTAGGACCGGCCATGACTATGTGAGCGGGACCGGCCACGACTATGTGAGCGGGTACAACTTCGGTTCCTCATTCGATGTTTCCGCCTTAGTGGTCTACGCGCCTTGTTAATGGAATCCGAAGATGAAGGCGAGTACTCGTTTTCAGTTCGCACAATAATTCTTACCGTCGGGCAATCATTCACGATTGCAAATAGCGTGTCAGCACTGTTTATCTGTATGCTATTACAGCCAGTGACTGCCCACATGACGCTCCCAGGGGGAATATCGAGTTCGTCGATCTTTTTCTGGAGTGCTTCATAGAGCTCGTCCTTTTCCTTATAGTTTATGGTAAAGCGTTGTTTGCTTTCGCGGTACAGCTTAAAATAGGCAGTTTCCAGTCTAGTAGTCGAATCAGTCATCGCTGGTAGAGGAGTGGTGGGTGAATTGGTCACTGAGTCCTTATACAGATGTTCAGTTTTACTTTCGAAAGGCCTGGGTGGGTGGAGCCTAAGCCGAAATCATAGGACAGTGCTATCAGCTGGCCCATTTCGAAATGACGTTCATTTTCGAAACTGTTTTTCGAAAAACACATGTCGGAACTGCTGTGCAACTGCTAACTACAATCACGTGAATGGTAGAAAATTAAGATCGAGAATGAATAAAATCTATCTGTCCGATATGGGAAATTGGGAATGCTGCAAAACCAGCAAGAGTTCAACTCCTACTTTGTTTTAGGGTGTTTTTTCACTTTTTCCCTCTGGATGATAATTTTGAGCAAGCGAATGCAGTGCAGGAAAAGCATTGATCGGAACAACAGGTGGTATCGGATCAGGTGAAAAATTTCAATGTAATACTGATCGTTCAGGTCTTTTCAAAACGAAATTTCAACAATATTTAGAAAATACTTAAGGACACAACAACAGCAACAGCAGCGAATCCTCTCATAAAATTGTTTGGTGGGAGCAAACAAATAAGTTCCCTAAGGTCATTTCACTGTTCCTAGTGCAATAAATTTTTCTTACTCTTGCCGCTTCCTAATCATCCTTTCATCACGTCGTTGTAACCTCAGTAATGCAACATAGTAACCGAACCAAAATGACAAATACCGTTGTATAAACACATTCCAGAACTAAATTCTTTATCAGAACTTAGAGAACTTATTGATTTTAATGATCATACGTCCACAATTCTTATCACTGAAGACAATAACATGCCATTTTCCACAAGGTGCAGTAGACTGCCAACGAATGTCTGCTTTGACCTCTCCATACTGTAACAATACATCACACAGTAAAACACATACTGGTTATATGGCACTACATTCCAACACAGTATTCAATTCATGTGACTGACACAGGACCAGAGTAACCCCTAAACAAGCAACCAGTATTTAAGAACGATTGTCACGGAAAGAACGCACCTAGCAACCATGATAATGGCCACGCACGGCATCGCCTTGACGTCTCCCGTGGCCATGTCCCATTCCAAAAAGAGGATGGCAACCATATCCAGTATCCATAGGGAAATAAAATCGATTGAAAGGACAGAACATCAGTGGCCGTCCGTAGGATGGGCGCCAGAAAAGCGGGGGTTCGTAATTGCTGGGACAGTGTTCACAGCATTTCCTGACATGTCCCGTGTCTGAGGAATCTCTTGAATGAGACCTGCCACATCGCCGCGTACGGTCTCGACCTCTGTCGCGATCGCACTTATGACTTTTCTTTATCTTTCGTTTTCCCATCATTTCGTTAAACTCTGGGCATAAATCCGTGATACCAGCTTCGTCACGTACTGTAATACTCATTACATCGCCTCCGAACATTACTATTCCCAGTAAAACATCAGCATCTTTGATCTCAATATGGTCGCCATCGCGATCGACAAAGTACGTGGCTCGAAGAGGGATGTTCCATTCGTCAAGTTTACTCTTGAAAGATCGAAAGAAGTTCTCCTTGTCCTGGTAGCGAATGGTGAATTGCGGTGGATTTTCAAAGTGCAGTTTAAACACCACAGTTTTCGATTCACCAACGGGTTCAGTCATGGCCGATGCAGAGTGGTAGTGGTGTGGGCATGGCTCTGTCATCGAGAAGGGACGGTGGGTGGAGCTTCGCGCATGTCAATAGTGTCGATGACTCATCTCCCATTCTCACTTTGCGTTGATTTCGAGTTTCGACTGTCAGAACCGGAATTGTTGACATGTATGCAGTTTGATAAGGATATGTGTCAATTATCGGGGTTAGAGGAGAGCAGTGTTAGTCGAACGATTGGGTGACTGAAAGTTCGTAAGGGAACGGCAAGAGTGCAGTGACTAGAAATTGATGATTTTCCCTATCTGGGCTTCAGCGAGATGGAATAAAGGGGGTTTACCGTGGAAATAAAGTCATAGTGATACGATAACCATCTTACAGACTTCATCCTTATTTTCTACCTCACTCGAAGTTTACAAAACAGTCAAGAAATCTCCATAGTGCGTCTACTTGAAAAATTGATTATCTTGAAAGCATTGCAACAGAAATGTTTTATAAACACATCATATTACTTCCCCTTCATTTCGATCGGGAACAAAATATTCAGTAACTTCAGAAGCACCTTTGTTGCATTGATTACCGAGGAGCGTGTAGCGCAGTGGTTGCGGGCGCTTTTCAATACACTGATTATCGATTATCGCATTCCAGGCTCACCACGTCTTCCAACCTTCCTAAGTCGGCAAATTGGTACCAGACTTATCTGGGAGGATAGCAGCACTGTCTCTCTACATCGGTAAGTCACCACGAGTCATTGTAAAGGTCAGATATGCATTCAATCTTCTCCAAACGATGCTTAATGAAGTCGAATGCATGGCGCACCCCACGGGGATTGATCAACGCCGATAGCTCTATCTTTTATTTAGCTTTATTCTTCACCTATGCAGTAAACACAAATTGTTATTCATTTTCTGTGAAATTCAATCCCCAGAGCTTTGACAGTCCTCCCATATCCTCTTTGCGAAAAATTTTGCTGATGTCAAGACAAGTGTGGGAAATGAATCATACTTGTGGGAGGGTTTGCCCCGCCCACAGGTACTCTTCGAAGGTGGCTCACATTGCGTCGCGTGCGCTGAGCGTGTCGCTCAACCACGAACATCTCGTCTCCGCTTGCAGCTATGACCGATTCCGATCATAAGGTCGAACTCGCCCAATTCAAAATCTATCAGGAATTTGCACCACGGTTCTACATCGCTTTTAAGGACAAGGATGAACTGTACCGATTATTTAGGAAGAAAATCGACGAACTCGGTATTGCTCCCAACAATATCTATTTCACTGATCCTTGTGGAAGAATAGTGGAGATCGATGACGCCGACTCGTTGTTGAAAATAGTGAGGGACGAGCGAATGGCGAACAGCCATACAGTGAGAATTTCTGTCTGTGACGATGACGACACGGGACACTCGTCACTGGGTCGTGAGAAACGAGCTCATAGACACATGAGGCGAGCTCGGCAAAAGAGGACTAGCAATTGTGTATTCTGCGGAGGACAAGACCACTATAATCCAGGAGAACACTTTTCTGCTGGATCCCATTTCCTACGGGAACACGTTTCTAGACCATACCAAGAACTACCGTTCTTCCGCAACCACAACTGTATTCATCCATCTCAATTTGGCCCTTTCCACATGGATCATCAATTCGGACGATATCCGTTCCCTTTGTTGGGAGCTTGTCATGGACGATATTGACCTAGCCACATAGTGAACGTTCTCCATGGCCACTAGATGCTTCATGCCAGTTACTGCAATGTTTCGTCGTGTTTTTTTTACTATCATATGCTTCTTCCCGGTTATTGTAATGTTTCACCGTATTTTTTTAAACGTATTGTGATCATTCCGTACACGTCTGTGTATCATCTTGAAGAATTTCGTAGTAGTTAGTAAATTATCCTATAAATTATCTTGACACCTCCACTTTAACGCTGAAAAGGTTAGAAAAAGAGTGAGTGAAATGTTCGATTAGTCACTTTGGGCTATCGAAAAAGTGGTTTAAGACTCCTTAGAAAGGAAATTGTTGTTCCATAACTTCTGCCAGCTTAATTTGTGCGCAGTTTTACGTCTTACGTGTAGACTAAACATTATCACTCTTTTAATGCCAATTGTTATGATAAATGTCATTGGATAGAAATGCTAAGCAATCAGATATTTAAGTAGAAACATCATCGTTCTGTAAAAATTCGTCAATTTTGTTGTTTGTAGTGCAGTTGTCTGTAGGTTGTAGTACGTCGTGTTCATTCTTAACTTCAACGTCGAAGTATTATGGCGATCGTTAGAGGTGTTTTGTCCAGAGTTTAAGGACTCATTTCTGAAGAAGGAATTGTAAACGAGAAAGTTGTTTGGTCCGTACGAGGTTGTTTGTAAAGTAGGTCAAAGTTTTGTTAGTTGTCGTTTATGAACAGGGCAAAAATTTTATTACCCATTGACTTCTTTGCTTTCTTTCTCCACCCAGAAAATCATTGGCTATGCCAAACGTCAATTCGATGGATGTTCGGTGTCATTTCATGGGTGTACGAAAAAATTTGCTTTCCATGACGGCTTTTCAGGAGCGGGACTAGACCCATCTGGTCGCTTCCACTGCACTTCTCTCCACTCTTCCAGAGCTGTTCCATTGCACCTGAACGATTCATTGGCCGCATCAGCTATGACAATGAGTAGTATTGGCAAAAATCTGAAATACTCCGAGTTTATGTCTATAAATAAATCGAGATTTTTCATCACCTATAGAGATCAGGATGCCGTGCATCATTTTTTTTAAAGAAAAATAAAAGGGACTGGGTACGGTACTCCACCTGAAACTGTTTATGACTTCGCCTATGACGGCACTCATGAGGACATTAGTACAGCAGAATAGCGAATATGGCGGTCCTCTTAACCACGTGTTCAAATTGTAAATGATTTTTTCACAATGAACCTATCTTGCCTATCATTTAAACAACCTTGATACGATTCGTAATGAATCGTATTGTTGATGAACATGATCACTTTAACTCATCGTTTACTGCCGTGTAGGCAGACCAACTCGAATCTCAGTATGGTTCTTCTAACGATAGGTTGCCACTCAACTCATAAGCTGTGTCCTTTGAGCATCTGGGAAGTCATTGCTATCCCTATCCTATCTCGCATTGTGAAGATAGGTGCTCATATACAATAAGTAATCACTCCACTGTTTATATTTCGCAATATCTGCATCTGAGTAGCATTCATTGACGTTCACAGCGAAAATAGAAACCCTGGAGCAGTAACCCAGCCCACACGAAAAAGGTTGGAGAACCGTTGTGGATGATGGATGAGAATAAAGTATGGAAAATGTTGGTAATACGCGAACTAGGTGTTATTAAAGATCATGTAACCTTGATACTTTAATAGGCTCACCTTCTTGAAGAATCCTGCGTTCAACTTTGCTGATATTTTCGTGCAATTTTTTTCTGTGCGTTGCATAAAACTCGGCCCTTCAGTTACCATGCTATCATCGCGAGCACTTGTCGACTGTTGTGGAGCAGAGTTATACACGCGTTCTCTCGACTAAATCCCGTCAAAAACGCCATCAATTCCATGCGTAAGACCGGTCCGAGCTGTGCTGTGGAGATTGAAATTCCGTCTTTTTCGATTTTGACCGTCGGAAAGAACAAATATTATTCTACATAGTAGAACTCCCAGGAACATGTCACTGGCAAGACAACAAAGCGCTGATAGGAATTTTTGAGTATGCGTGACAATTCCAATAATTCCCGATGGCCCGCTTCTTCCATAATACTCTTACCTTCTACACGGTGATATCGCGTTTTTAAACTCGCATTCCGAATGTGTCGGTATATCAGCTACATTTATTCTGCAACTATTCTACGTACTAGTACGGAGTTCTGCAACTTCCAAATATACCACCCATGCTCGGGAAATCAACGAATTTTCTGCAATAATTTGTGTGCAAAGTAAATACTTCTTCAGCAGATTTATCATGGTTCACAGAGTCCTTTATTATTCCTTCTCAATAGTGATCGTATTTCTTACTAGTACTTCAGGCTAGTCACTACTAAGTTAGTGAATTTGACAAAAGGCATAGAAGTCTCGAGCTCAATAACAAACGGTGAAAAAATAAAAACTCGTAAATAAAACGAATTTGAACCATGTCAGCTTCTTGTCGCCGTTCTGGTCCGTCTGGAGAGTTCCAGAGCCGTGTCGCCGGTTTCGAGAGGTTACAGAAAGAGCAAACTGGTAAGATGATGGTTGTGAATCAGCGGTAAATTCGGTTGCCAAGAGTGAGCTAGAACGCCACAACATCAAATACTACTTTTATCCCGATATTTAGACACATCGATTCAGTTAATCTACTGGTTGGGTAAGTCACTAGCTGTCATTTCAATGGTCCTCACATCCGACATGCCGGACCATTTCGCGAAATCTTATTGTTATCGGTGATATTTTGAAAATGATATCATCGTCTTTCCTTTCGCTAACATAACTAGAATTCTCCAGCTCCCTTTCAACGGATGACTGCAGTTAGCAAGTCCGTGTATACCAATAAAGGGCACTAAACAGTATCGAACAGAGTCCGTAGCAGGTAAACTCTTTTTCGGGCAAAGTTAACACTCTAGGATGGCAGACGGTGTAAATTTCTCAGCGACTACGTTAGACACGATCGTGCTTAGAGCTGGAAGAGTTTACCAAATGGGTGCAAACAATTCGCCCTCAACGTCCTCACCATTTTCCAACTACGGCTAATTCCACCACCCAACGGAATCGTCGTGGAATCTTTTAATTTTGTTCACACATTCATGATTTAGTTTCTTAGAAGACATTACGGAGAATAAACACATTTGTCGTTTATATGGTGCCAAAAAAGCACGTGTAGCGCAGTGGCTAGAGACGCCCAGCAATACACATGGGATCGATCCCACGTGCCAGGCTCAAGCATTACGAACCCTCTGGGGTCGCCAAATTGGTACGAGACTTTTCAGGGAGGATAGCATCATTGACTTCATACATAGGCCACTGCGAGTCAGTGTATAGGCCAGATATGCATTCAATTCGAATGTATGGCGCCGTACTCAGGGACTGATCAACACTGACAGTTTTGTCCTTTTATTTTACGGTATCAAATTGAGAAAAACTGTTGTATAGATTTTGAAGTACTACGGAAAATCACTCATGAGACACGCTGGAAGGTGTGTTAATCCAAACACAGGATAGTAGAGTGGAATGAAGGCGGCAACACATTCGAGGAAGACGTATAGCTGACTGAAATTCCGGCGGTGGACGAAGAAAAAACAGTTCCAGTTTAAGTGACATGTCTATTGGTAAGTTTTCCTACCACTTATCGCTATCACAGAGAGATCTCATACCGTCTAGTCTCAAGGCAACATCCCGGGTTGCGGAGAGGATGTCAACTGTGGACGAAAAACTACCTTTGCTTCACGGAGACGGAGGTGAATCTAGGGACTGTGATCCTTACTGTTGCTCCACCGATTTGTCATATACATTCTGTATTTTCGAGGATGTGTTCATGAATGTGTGCGTGGGTGTGTTCTCGTTTGTGTGGCTGAAATGAGATAATGGGGAATGAAATTCTCGTCTTCCCCGGATGAAAGTGGCAGGCTACCCGTGAGTATACCCAGCTTCCACGTTCAGAGCTCAGTAAATAACACGTAGGTATCATACACTTAACACAGTAAAAAAAAGTGGGTCTCGTTCGATTGAACCAAAAACGGCGCCATCGTTTTGTGGAACGCGTACGGAGGAGGTGATAAAAGCGTAAAGCCATTCTTGGCTGCCTAAATCATAAAGGAACAAGGTGAGGACCTGTGCCTAAAATGGATGCTCACTTTCATCTCATTCCTCGATAGAGGACTTGATCACACGGGTGAGTAGAATAAGGCACGACGTCATCGAACTGGATGAGCCCAGGAAGCGCCACTCATTCAACACTGTCTATAATACAGAAAAACAACTGTTTCCTAGAACGCGCGACAGTAGAGGAGACATCATCGTCGGAGTTTTAGTCAACAGTATGAGTTCGGCTATGAACATCGACTGATTCGAGGAGCAAACAACTCGAATCGGACATTTAGGGATGAATAAGTGTGAAACACTACTGCATGTAACTTTATTTACCGCCTACACATCGAAATCAAACTACGACGAAGACGAAGCTGAAGCCGAACCGTTTCAAATGGACTTAGAGAAGTCTACACAGAAGACAAGAGATTCTTTAAGCTCATAATTGGAGAATTTAACGCCAAGACTGCGCACAGAGGAACCTCTGACGAACGTCACATTGGGATCCACGAATTACAAAGGAACGACCACGGCTAGCGGTTGTCTGAGTTTATCATGACAAATTAAACTATTCATGGTAGCTCGCAATTCCAGAAGCAGTATCTCCAAAAGATGGATGTGAGAGCCGCTCAAGGGAAGCTACTATAACGAATTAAAGCACATCGCAGTAAAGCAATTGTTTTTCTTGACCGGAGTAGCTGTTATCCTAAAGTTCTATATAGGATTAGACCATAGTCTTATTCGCGCAAAATTTCATTTCTCGCGCAAAAGAAAAGGAAGTCGCTAGATTCAAAAAACGGATTCCCAAAACCACCATAAAACGGAACTTATTTAGTTCATTAGTCGGCTGGAGGAATGATGTCGGTCTTGATAACTTGACAACGACTATGATCAGCTCATTGAACATCTTTATTTTA